TTGGTGGGTGCAGTAACAAGACCAATCGCTACGTAGTCGGCGGAAGTGAAATGCTTTAGCAGTGCTGAAAGATATAATGCAATAGTATGAGTTTCCTCAGTTCCTGCAGGAGCCTGGGAGAAAATTACTTGGTTACGTTGGTCCTTAAGAGCCTGTTGAGGATTAGTATTGGAGCCTTCTTCTAGTGGTATAGTTCCTTGGTCTCCCAAGTCCTCTTCGCTCTCACCCTCTAGATGACACAAAAGCTTCAGGGCTCTTCGACGTCTGGAACACTCCTCATCTGTTAAGCTCCTGCTCAGCCTCTTTTCCTGCAACATTCGCTCCGTGAATTCATAACCTGTATTATACGGGTTGGGATAAAACAGTAACTCTTCACGCCTCTTCCCGTGCGCTATCTCTGGCTCTGGTGCGTGGAATGTCAGCAAGCAGATCTGTCTCATTATGATTCAAAATTACCTCAAGGTACAAGTTCTTCATCTCGTCTATGTATAATTTGGAGATAGTTGCAGTCATGCCGCTTCTTCCATACTCTGGGTTGGTCCTCTTAGTCTCCATCCGTGATTGTACGTCTGGTTCCCAGTGGCGTCTCCGCTTGGCATACAGTTCCCTCTCCATGTTCTCCTCTAGCTCACCGTATTTAATGGTAAACCGAAGAGTTGCATCGCGCACGTTTTCTTGTGAACGCCGCACCGTCGAGTAAATATCGTCCGGCCAATATGCTGCACTGATGTATGCGGAAGCTACCCTATTCTTCGTGAATACAACTGACGCATGGAGGAATCGCTATATGGTTTCGTTTTTCGGAGTATCTTCCCCGTATCTCAGCATACCAAGGTGTCCGTCCCTAGTTATAATCCACCCTTTATATTCTCCTATTATAAATCTACGCCCAAGCTCGATCTTCCTGGCACCCGTCTCTTGCTCGGCATATTCCTGTATCAGATAATAACAGTTCCACCCTGGGTTGTAGTAGATTTCAAATTCAAGTTCCTCAGCCACTAATGCGGAGACTTCCAACAGCACCAGATCTCCTTCTTGGAGGAATCGGTTCTATGTCAACCTCGTCCCCTTTCAATCTTGCCGATCCTTGAACACCTTCGGCGATTACTTCAACTTTCGCCTGTTGTCGTGAACAGGCCGCTTGGACGAATGCCGGGATGGTTATCGTTCCGCGCACCGTTACGGTTTGGTATTTCGTCGCCAAACTTGTTGAACCGCGACAACATAATCTCTTATGCGCTTCCCGTCCATCATTTGAAATGGTCGCACCACTCCGTTGACCATCAAGGTCGCTATTTCCTGTACGACGAAGGTGTCAAAAGGATGGTACCGCTGATCTTTTTTTCGTAGGATCTCCACTATCATTGGAGCATCCTCTCTTCCGCCTTGGTTGCTTTCGTGTGCTGGATCAAGTACAAGTGCATAACATGGTGTGAGTACTTGACACAAAAAATAACGGGCTGGAGAGGATAGTTATTTGGGCTCTATCCACTCCATCTCCGTTCGCATCTCCCCAAGCGGACATGGTAATACTTGTTACAACTCGCACAGGAACGATGGAGAATATAGCACCCCATCAATGCAGCTTTTTATTCGATCCTCAACGAACAACAGTAGCATTATCGCGAGCACGAGAAGGCTTATTTATTATTGGCGATCAGGATCTACTGTATGAAAGCGAGCTGTGGAGGTATTTTCTAAATAAATATGACACTGTATGCGAATTGTCGGAATTAGATTCATGGCTCTTGAACATGACGCATAATATTGCTCTGGTCCTATTTTGTTACATTTTGTTTCATACTTATATATTTTTTTTTGTTTTCTAAGACATATATATAATTACGTTAACAACGGGAGCTAAAGCCTAGTCAAAAAAAAAA